TTCTGGAGTGTCAGCCACTCCTCCCAGTTTTGTGTCATCAGCAAACTTGCTGACAGTGCACTCTGTTCCCTCGTCCAGGTCGTTGATGAATATATTGAATAGTACTGGTCCCAATACTGACCCCTGGGGGATCCCACTAGATACAGGCCTCCAACTGGACTCTGTCGCATTGATCAAAACTCTCTGACTTCTTTCCTTCAAGCACTTCACAATCCACCTCACTACCCAATCAGCTAGACCACGCTTCCTCAGTTTAGCTGCGAGGATGCCATGGGAGATGTTGTCAAATGCTTTACTGAATCAAGATAGACCACATCCACTGCCCTACCATCATCTATCCACCTGGTTCTGTCCTCATAAAAGACTACCAGGTTGGTCAAACATGACTTCACCTTGGTGAAACCATGCTGACAGCTCCTAATGACCCTCTTAGCCTTGATATGTCTGGAGACAGTGCTAAGGATAAGGTGTTCCATCACTTTCCCAGGGATGGAGGTGAGGCTGACTGGTCTGTAGTTACCTGGGTCCTCCTTCTTACCCTTTTTGAAGACTAGAGTGACATTTGCTTTCTTCCAGTCCTTGAGCACCTCTCCTGTTGCCCACAACTTACCAAAGATGATGGAGAGTGGCCTAGCAATGACTCCCGCCAGCTCCCTCAGCACCCATGGGTGCATCCCATCAGGGCCCATGGATTTATGTATATCCAGATTGCTTAACTGATCCCTAACCCAGTCTTCATTGACCAAATCAAACTTCTCCTTTATCCCGACTTCCTCTGGAGCCTCAGGGGTCTGGGACTCCTGAGGACAGTCTCCAGCGGTGTAGGCAGAGGCAAAGGCATTCAGTAACTCCACCTTCTTAGTATCTTCTGTCACCAGGGTACCCACCTCATTCAGCAGTGAGCCTACATTGCCTCTAGCATTAGTTTTGCCTGAAATGTATTCTAAGAAGCCCTTTCTGTTGCCCTTCACCTCCCTTGCAAGGTTTAATTCCAAGGAGGCCTTAGCTTTCCTAGTTGCTTCCCTACATCTTCTGACAGCAATCCTGTATTTCTCCCAAGTGGCCGTCCCCTCCTTCCATGATCTGTAGACTCTCTTCTTCCACTTGAGTTTGCCCTGTTTAACTATGTGGATCTCCTGGCTCCCTTTCTTGATTTTCTACCTCTTGGAGTGCTCTGATCTTGACCTTGGAAGAAGTGGTCCTTGAATATAAACCAACTATCTTGGGCCCCTTTACCTTCTAGTACCCTGTCCCATGGAATTTCCCCTAGCAATTGCTTGAAGAGACCAAAGTTGGCTCTGCTGAAGTCCAGAGTTGTGATCCTGCTTGGTATTCTGTTCCTACCACACAAGATCCTGAACTCCACCGTCTTGTGGTCGCTGCAGCCAAGGCTGCCCTCAACCTTCACCACTTCAACCAGACCATCCTTGTTAGTGAGTGTAAGAAGAATGGACACACAGAGAATGCACACACACATCTTTAGTACTTGGTGCAAGGCACGTGTATACTAGATATGCGTGTGGAACATTCAGATGAGAATTATTTGCAAACTCAAACCTCTGAAACTACTTTCTGAGGTTTGATGGGGAATCTGGCTTTGGTTAATAAACTGGTTACCTTTGCAAAGAGACTTTAAGTGTCATACATGATACCACATGGACCAAATTTCACACATTTTAGTTGTTTCTCTGGGTTGTGCATAACTACAGCTCACAGTTAAAGACTGTACTAGCATCTCTTTTTCCAGATACATGAAGAAATGAGATTCAACAAGGCTAATATCCAGGTTCTGTACTTGAGTGATAACAACCCAATGCAATGCTATAGGCTTTGGGAAAAGTGGCTGGAAAGCTGCCTCTTGGAAAAGGACCTGAAGGTATTGGTGGACAGCCAGCTGAACATGAGCCAGAGTGTGCCCAGGTGGCCGGAAAGGCCAACAGCATCCTGGCTTGCATCAGAAATAGTGTGGCCAGCAGGAGCAGGGAAGTGATCATGCCCCTGTACTCAGCACTGTTGAGGGCTCACCTTGAATACTGTAGTAAGAGGCCCAAAACTGAACACAAGAAGGACATTGAGGCACTGATGCATGTCCAGGGAAGGGCAGTGAAGCTGGTGAAGGATATAGATGCAGGTCCGATGAGGAGCAGCTCAGGGAACTGGAGTTGTTCAACCTGAAGAAAAGGAGGCTGAGAGGAGACCTCATTGCACTCTACAACTACCTGAAAGGAGGTTGTAGCAAGGTGGGGGTTGGTATCTTCTCCCAAGTAACAAGTGATAGAATGAGAGGAAGTGGTCTCAAGTTGCATCAGGAGAGATTTAGGTTGGATATTAGGAAAAATTTCTCCACCAAAAGGTTTGTTGAGCTTTGGAACAGGCTGCCCAGGGAAGTGGAGGGCTCACTGTCCCTGGAGTTTTTTAAAAGATGTATAGATGTGGCACTTAGGCATGTCGTTTAGAGGTGGAAGTGTTAGTGCTAGATTAACGGTTGAACTTGATGACCTTAAGGGTCTTTTATGACCTAAACGATTCGTTAATTCTGTGAAATTTAGAAACAGTTCTGTCTGTACTAATTTTTCTCTTTTTTTCCGTACCTGCCACTAGTGTCATTTGACTTCTGCAAAGACCAGCTGAACTTCTACTGTTCTCTGAAGTTGCCATACTGTAGTCCTGTGAGGGGCTAGTTTTTATCTTTCCTGAGTTTATCAGATGGTGTGCTGTTTCTGTCAATCTTTTGATCCATGAAGTTGGATGTTTGAACCTTTTAACCATGTTTCCCAATGTATTCTCTCTGTAGCTAGGTGAATGTGCAGTACCTGCTGCTTCTACCTGATTTTGACCCTATTTCTCCCCATGCTTTTAATTTTAGTAACGTTAAGTGTTTGGTTGTAATGATTTGCACTTAATATAAGACCAGTTTCCTTAAGTGGTAAAACTTCTGTGCAACATATGTGTATGCAATAGCATGACCAACAAATTTAAGCCAAAACTTTTGTGGTGTCTCCTATTTTAGGCTACAATATCCCCTGTGCTCTCAGCACCACATTTATCACAGGGTGCATTTCCTGGTTTGGATCTTCATTCACTTGCTGAGTCAGGTAATATGATCTATTTTAAAGTCTGATTTAATAAACAGATCAAATCGAGTTTTTTAGTTCATTGAATTATTTTGTTTTACTTGGAGTAAGTGACCATTTGTGGTGTTGTTTCAAGTTCTTCAGATTGAGTAGTGTTCTATTCTATGCAACTTATTATAATTTATTATGTGCAAAATCTTTGTGTGTTTTCTCACAGGAATAACATTCTATGTGCTTGTTATTGCTGTTCTGTTTCTGAAGGCAACGCAGTAAAATGTTTGTATGGCAGGATGGGTTTGTTTATTTTTGTCTTTGCCTATGTTCCTACAATTCTCTATTCAGAACATCTGAAGTAGTATGTATGTAATTTTTGCTTTAATATGCACTTAATCCTCTGATGATGGTTTTAATTATTTTCTTCTGCTGAAGGATTTTTTTTCCTGCTTCGCTGGATTTATTTGAGTTAGCAAATATTGAAACGGTGACTGTTAGAAACTACTATGTTGTTATAAACAAACATCATTTTGGCTTCTCAGGATCAAAGAGATTGGCTGTGGAGGAACTAGTCATGTTTAGTACTGCCATGCTTTTCAGACACCTTCGCTAGATTGTAATGTTCCGTCCAGTTAATTACATTTGAAAAATTATCAAATAAATCAGTGCTATTTCAGCGTCGGTCACCATTGTCATGCCAAAACAACCAGAGAAATAGAGAACAATACTTTTGTACTGTTGATGATATATGTTGTTTGCGAACATTTGTAAAATTATCTGCAAAGTTAATTTTGACATCTACTTTATCACTTTAAATTCGGTGTGTATACAGCATGTACAGAAATATGTATTTGTGCATCTTCATCTATTTTTTTTGCATTAGTTCCTTAAAGTGTCTTTCAGTTCTTAAGGTGAGATGAGAATGAACACTGGCAACAGTTAATCTGAAAAAGTAATAACTAGATTTAGATTGAATCAAGCCTGTTTTTTGGTTTATACTGTACATAGAGCTGTGCAACCATTTTAAGTGATTTGTGCTATTTATTTGTCTTCACCTTCCAGACCCAAGGATGCTTATAAGCCTTAGAATATACCTCTTAATGTAATTTGTTCAGTTTTGTCAGAAGAATGATACAGTTAACTTTAACTTCCCTCCTAATGGTTTTTAAGTGAAGATGGTGCAATCTGTTTGTCTTTGTTATACTTCTGTAATAATGTCAAGTGGATCAAAAGCTTGACAGTCCTTAGGAGTCTCTCCTGAAATGGGAGAACCTTAGCAAGAGAGGTTCAAAGTAGTGCCACTGATAGTGAGAGAATGCTGGTGAAGGAGTTAGTTGACAAGAACTGATTTATGATGACATGATAAAGGTAGCTTTAGGTGTGATGAAAAGTTCTGGAGGCAAGAGCCTCCACAGAATGACAGAAACAGACTTTGTTGGTTGCTAATTATAAACTAGGAAGTCTTCCTATGCTTGTAGATTTAATATTATATATATGTAGACATAAAAATTCTAGATCCTAGTACTGCAAAATATTAGCTGTCAAAAATGTAAATGTAATGTTGTGAATTAATTCTTAGAATCAGAAGAGGAATTTTATGATGCTCTAAGCAGTCCTGTGGAAGACATGCCATTTTTTGAAGCCACATCTGGTTCCCTCAAGCGAGCTAGCAGTACAAGGCAAAAAAAACTACGTAAACAAGAATCTTTGAAAAATATGACAGAATTCCAGCTAAGGTTTGAAGTAGCTAAGGTAAAGTTACTTTAAAAAAAAACAAAAAATTTCTCTGAAGCACATCTGAACTGTATTTTTTCCCTGTTTGCTGTGTTTGTGAATCCATGTCTGCAAAAGTATTGATTCCCCATTTCTTGCTGAAACTGTTCTGTAGAGTCTTGTTTCCAAGTCACCCTTGTGCTTCTGCATCCTTGTCGCTGAAATGCTTTTATTTATCCACTTTATTTCCCAACTCATTTTATCATTGCATTTACTTTATCTGTCACTTAAAATCACATTATATATTTGTTTTGGCTTAAGATGCAGATTTTAACATCTTGTTTTTTTCCAGATACTGCTCTGGTTACTGGGAAAACTTCATTAATGTTTCATCTTGTAACAAGCCCTCTATTTTTCTGTCTCATTTTTCCTGGACTCTGACATCACACCTAAATCTGTGACATGTTTGCTGTGACTTGTTTTAGGTGCTGTTCTTGCTGTTTCAGTCTTAGGGGGGAGAAATATTTTACCCAGATGCAAGACACTGTTTCTAACTGCATCAGTTGGTCTAGTAGAAGAGGTAGCCTCTTACCACTGTTGTTACCTTTATCATTAGGCTATTGTGACTATGACAGTGTTATTGCTGCTACTTACTGTACAACTTTACAAATTAATTGAACAAATTCAGTTAACTTTACAGACTTTCTTCACATTATAACTGCCTTGCAAGATATCTTATTATATACTACACCTTACAGAAAATACCTAAAAAAATAAAATCTAAGTACTGTTTTTTGTATTATGACAATCATAGAATCACAGAATGGTTTGAGTTGGAACGGGCCTTAAAGATCATCCAGTCCAACCCCACTGCAATGGGCAGGGTCACCTCCCACCAGACCAGGTTATTCGAAGCCCTGTCCAACCTATCCCTGAACACTTCCAGGGAGGAGGCCTCCACAGCTTCCCTGGGCAACCTGTGCCAATGTCTCACCACCCTCACAGTGAAGAATTTCTTCCTAATATCTAGTCTAAATCTACGCATCTTCCAGTTTAAAGCCATTCCCCCTCGTCCTGTCGTTACCTGCCCTTGTAAGCATCCCTCCGCAGCTTTCCTTTAGGACCCCTTCAGGAATTGGAAGGCTGCAATAGGATCTCCCCGGAGCCTTCTCTTCTCCAAGCTGAATAACCCCAGCTCTCTCAGCCTGTCTCCACAGGGAGGGTGCTCTAGCCTTCTGATTATCTTTGTGGCCCTCCTCTGGACCCCGTCCAACAGCTCGATGTCCTTTTTGTGTTGAGGCCCCAGAACTGGCCACAATATTCCAGGTGAGGTCTCACCAGAGTAGAGTAGAGGGGCAGAATCACGTCCCTCGATCTGCTGGCCACGCTTCTTTTGGTGCAGCCCAGGACAACATTGGCCTTCTGGTCTGCAAGTGCACATTGCTGGCTCATGTTGAGTTGTTCTTCGACCGACACCCCTAGGTCCTTCTCCTCGGGACTGCTCTTGAGCCACTAGATAATTATAGTGTCTTCGAAATACAGAGCATGTCTGTCAATACTCACTTGAAAAAAAAAAATAGCATTGGGA